TCTAGTAATTTTTCATTCCACTATCTGGCTGAGCTCTGAGGTCGAACCTTTCCCAGTCAATTTTGCTATTAAAATCCTGTTATAAGAATTTGTTTTGCATTAGTTTCCGAAAATCCTAGCACTTCTTCCAGGCTCTTTAACGTTTCTTGAATAATGTATGAGGAGGCATGTACACTGTGGTTACTCCGTTTGTTTCTACCTCAATTAGGTCTTGCTTAATCTCTAACTTCGTAATAACAATTCCTTTCTTTGTTAATATTACTTTCCCCGTCCATTTCCTATTTGCCCTCTCTCTTCTCCAAATATTATAGTCTCTATGTCTTAATGTTACACCGTCTACTAGAGAATCTAGTTTGAATTCAGTGATACATATTACATCTGGTTTATCAATTTCAGTAAATGTATTAGTTCTAGTAACTTCGAAAATAAACCATGTATATTTATATAAACTATTTCTATATACTCTTTCGGTATTCCCATTAGCTGCAAGGACTATGTCTCCACATTTTGATACCGATAGTAAACTTGTTTTGCTTGGAGGCCTCTTACCCTCCAAGTGAACAAGTTTTCTTCTTCTGCAGTATTTCTCTGTCATTTTTGAACACATTTTCTCTTATCCAGATTTTCTTAAATTCTTCGTGGGACTTGAGCATTCCTTATTACATTTACTATTTGCTTATTCATGAATGTCAGTTTTAAATGGCGTTTTTCTTTTTTTCTCATAATCCCAACCTTCTGCGAGCTATGATATTCCGCTTCGAGAATTCGGGATTTATGACCTTGAGAATATTGACAATCAATTTCTCGTCTTCGTTGTATGGTTTGATTCCATCTTCTACAACTTTTTCTTCATGTCCCAATATGACTATGGCCTTTGTTTACATCAGCCAAATTTGCAATATTCCTTGCGTATTTCTCAAGGTGTAACTTAAATTCATTTTTCATTGCCGTCTCTGCAATCTGTATCTTTATTTCTTCCTTTGTGATCTTTGTTTTTTTCTTTTTTCCATTTAATTTACATTTTCCTTTACTTTAGATACATCGGCCTATGCAGCTGTCAACTTGTTTGCCTCTTCCGTTATTTGGCTGCTTGACAAATTGCTTTCAGTCTGCTTAACAGTTTCGCGTACTTTGTTTATTTCATCATTTTTTTTTCTTGCAGATTCTTTGCTTCGATTTGACTACAGTTCCCAATATTGGTTTCTACTTCTTCCACCTTTCCTTTGAGTTCTTTGATTTTCATGTCAGACTTTTCAGTATTCGCGCTCTGAATGGTTGTGTTCCTGCCAAAATTATCCACCAATTCCTTTAAATTTACGTTTTCTTTATGTATTTTCAAGCATTCTTCAACCAGGCTGTTTATCTTGAGCCTCCATTCTAACTGCTGCTTCCGCTAAGTTCACTTTCCCGGCCTGTTCCTAGTTGTTGCCCATAAAACAAACACTAAAACAGAGCTGTATTCAAGGCAGTTGTCTCTCTGCGCGAAACGTTTACCATGCAAGATTCGCGGGTACTCCTCGCCTCCTTTACCTTCGCTCTCACGTTCCGGGTCACAAAACCTTACTATTTTTTTCTTTTCTTTTTTACTTATTCGTTCACTGTATATCCCATATCATTCTGTCCGCATGAACTATACACATTTACAGAACTCATGGCTAGCAGATTAGACCATCCATTACACCGTATTCAATAGTGTATGTGCGTGTGAGTGTGCGGGCGTGTGTGTATACGTGTGTGTATACGTGTTTATGTGTATATGCGTGCATGTGTGTGTGTACGTATGCATGTATGTATGTGTGTGTTGGTGAAAAAGAGAGAATAGGTGAGTGAGAATAGGATCTGGCAAATTTTCTCTGTGAATTTGCTTTCATTTAGAGAACTAATGTGCTACTTTTGATACATACACAAACGTACACACACATACACACACACACACACTCGCACACACACGCATGTATAAATACATATATATATATATATATATATATATATATATATATATATATATATATATATATATATATGTATATATATATATATATATATATATATATATATATATGTATATATATATATATATATATATATATATATATATATATATATGTATATATATATATAAATAGATATAGATATATATATATACATATATACATACATACATGTATATACGTACACGCACACACACACATATGTGTAAATATATACATTTACATATATATATATATATATATATATATATATATATATATGTGTGTGTGTGTGTGTGTGTGTGTGTGTGTGTGTGGGTGTGTGCATATACGCATACACACACACACACTTACAAATATATTTGTATTTTATGTTTATATATACAGAGAGAGAGAGAGAGAGAGAGAGAGAGAGAGAGAGAGAGAGAGAGAAACAATTTAAAGAAATAATAGAATTATATTATGTCCTTCCTTACGTAGTTTCTTGTTGCCTTCCAGCAGATTGAGAGGCTGCACCGACCTAGGCAGAGCTTTTCTCTTTGTCTTGAACACTGTATTTTTTTTCTATTGAAAGTGACTGAGCGTATGATACTTTCTATGTGTGAGACCGCGGCCGCACTGAACGCGATGCAATGCGGAGCGAAACGCGCTGGAGGCTTGGTATCGTGCTCGCTAAGATTTATATCAGTATATATATATATATATATATATATATATATATATATATATATATATATATATATATATATGTATATATATATATATATATATATATATATACATATATATATATTATTCATATGGACCTTGCTCGCTAATGGGACGTGGCCCTACCGCACTCACCCTCAGTGGAAGAGAAATGGGGATAAATTTCGAGAATTCCATAGGCCTAAGGAGACCCCAATTTAATTTTCGTGTACACGCGAAAATGAAATTGCTACTTTTGGCAATGAGTATTTGAACATTACAATATTATTTTTTCAGAAGAAAAGTATAGTGTTTCACATTCATTGACTTTTTTTATCTTATTAAAGTAGGAATATTTTTGTAACAAATTTTGTATTATCATGTAACTGTAAAAGAGCGGCGACGGAACGAAAAGAATTTCAAATCATGTGGACAGTTAAGTCTATTCACCATCTGCTCATTCGTGGGCAATCGTGATTACAGAGTTTTCCATATATTCGACAAAGCATAGTATTCTTTATTTACTGTTACTGCACATGACAAAATGAAAATGTTAGTCATACATTTTGCAAAAGAATATTAAGTTTACTTTTGCCACTGTTTGCATAACACTGTACTATGATTACGGCAATTTCAAGCAGTAAATTTAAGATAAAGTTTGACTATATCCTCCAATGTATCAGTCGAAATTAAATATTCACATAGCTCTTTGTGTGAATAGTTCTCTATACCTCATGTTCGGTAGTCTGAAAGGCTATATCACATGACATTCCGAGATATATAGTGCTCAAGTGTTCGTTCGCTTGTTTTCCTAGTTGCACAGACTACATCTAGATTCATCTGCACTTCTTGCACCGTTTAGTTGCCAATATATTCTGTGACCTAAACGTATTCTGTCAGTAACCATGTCACATTGTCTGGTTTGACTTCGGTGCCATTCCAGCCACAGGATCCACCTTGGAAGGATACTCCTCTCTTCTCTTCCTGTGGTGAATTAGGGACTGGTCTGGCAGACCATCTGATGACTGCCACTCTAGTTTATCGTTTAGGATGATAGGCAGGTAGGAGCCCCTCCCTTTGACAGGCCTTCAGCCTAAGTTCTGTCGAAATAGCTGCTGCCAGACAGAACACCGCCTTCCCGTCCCGCCACTGGAACCGCCTCGAAAGTTAGCTTCTCTCCCTCACTGTGGTGAATTCAGTCTTAGGGTGGCTGTTTTCTGAGGGCTGAATAAGCTTCCTTGAACAGGTGCAGGACTTCTCTTCCCTCACTGCGGTGAAACAGCCTTTGGGTGGCTGTTTCATAGGAAAGAGGAATTCTCTTTGAAAAGGTACAGGTCCTCTCCTCCCTCACTCTGGTGAAACAACCTTTGGGTGGCTGTTTCAGAGGGATGAAAGGAACCTCCTGGAAAAAGTACAAGAGCTCCTTCCCTCACTGAGGAGAAGCAACCTTTGGGTGGCTGCTTCTGAGGGATGAGCAAAAGGGTTCCAAACAGTGATGTCCTGTAGGTGGAAGGATATCCCCTCTGGTCTCTCCCCAGGGGTTTACACCTACCCTAGGTTTCCACTGTGCATGGCAGATAACTGAGACCATAGACCGTGAAGAGAGGTGTTGCATGCACTGCGGCGAGCCGAACGCCACACTTGCACATTACATAGGGACCGCCTACAACAGCCGCCGTGTTGGTAAAAAGGCTATGCGATACGCTTACACCATGGCGGCAGGAGCTCGTGCTGGCAATCCCACCGCCACGGTAAGCATCAAGTGTCAGAAGGCAAAATGAGACAGCCATAAAAAGCTGACACAGGCCGGCCCATAGCCAGAAGGCCAGGGCGAAGCTAGAACTTCGCAAATAGCAAAAGCAAAGACTTCGGTGCCACCCATGGCTGTAAGTTAAGTTAAATTAAGTAGGTTTATTTACCACCCTGGCTATAAGTTAAGTAAGTTTATTTACGACCCTGGCTATCTGCTTAGGCGTGGGCAGTCATGAATACAGTTTGTACATATATCTGAAAATGCACAGTAGTCTGTGATTACTGTAATTGTACGTGGCAAAGTAGAAATATAAATCATACATCATTTTTCAAACATCGGATCCGATGCCCGCAGACTTGTGCTCCGCTAAATGGCTGCAGACATTTAAAGCAGTTTTCTTCAAATAGCAGCCACTTTTTTAAACAATGCTCAAATTTACGTTTTCTTTTCTTGTTTATGAGCCACTAAAAAAACATTATAAGCCACTATTTTCACCTCTAGTTTCCTCTCGTACAAACAACCCTTTCTTGTTTAGTCCCCCCATCAATAACCATGGCGTTCTCTTCTTTTCTTTCCTCTTTCTCCTCTTTGAGAAAACCGTCGCGCGAGCCCTTCGACTGAACGGAATGTCATAATAGTTGTCTATCTTTTCAAGTGTCTTCAGTTGCTTCCGTGGACCTCTTGTTTTGGTGCGAGAGGAAGAACCAACCTTGTATCTCTCCTTTTAAAAGTAAGCATAAGATTAAGGCTACCTTAGTGTTCTCTTAATAAGGGCAAAGAGCGGTTAATGTTAATAGGAAAAAAAAACTGATAAAGGGAATAAGCACAAACGGAAAAGTTTGTCCATGCGTTTTATAGTGGCGCAGTTTTGATGGACAGTGTGTTAGAGGTGTGTTATTAAAGAGTTTATTCTTTATACACTAGTAGTGACGGTGTGGAAGAAATTATTAATCCATGTGAGCTAAGAGAGCGTAGCCAAGAGGTGAAAGCATATGCCTGCCTTGCTTTTTTTTTTTTTTTTTTTTTTGTCTAAACGTTATCTCTGCTTTTGTTACATTTTTGTTGATATTTTTTTATGTGTGGACATTTTAGCTTCCCATAGATTAACTGATGGTCAGTGGGGAGAAGTTTTTTTTTGTAGCATAGAACTAATGTAGCTTTTTAATATTTATTGTTATTGGTCAATATGTAGTATAAGGTAGTGGCAGAGTTGGGTAATAAAACCTACATGAAATGATACAACAATACAAACCAACACAAAGTTGAGGAGATATGATCACCATCTCCATCGACAATCTTGATTTGATAGTCCCGATAGCCGGGGAGGGCATGAAGTATATCAGGGAAATTATGGGGTAGAACAGAACCCCCATGGTTGTTAAATAAAATGTCCTAACCCAATGTCCAACCAAACCTAACACCATGGTATATATTCCCTAGCCAGGGGGCTAAGTCCCCTGGACCCCTGTGGTAATATATATGCCTAGCCGGGGCTATGCCCCCTGGACCCCCACAGTAGTATTTGCGTCTAGAATTCACCCTCGCAAAGTAAACAAGCGACTTATCAAAAATTGGGGGATCTTCTCTTTTCCTTTACATATAGCAGCCTTGGGAAGCATTTGCACACACATTGCCATAGAAGAACTTTGTCTTGGTTCACTTTTGCATAGCCATATGGTACAAGGTAAACTTTGCCTGTAATGGATGATGGCATAAAATAAAATACTTCTCATCCATGGTATTTCTTTTGCAAGTTAATAGGAAAGTGTGCTTTTATTATACACTTACATCTAAAGATCTAATGATGCTGTCTTAACCCATTCGTGCCGGGTAAAAATGAACCAAAAAATGGGGGAAAATGCTGTGCTCATTCTTTATACTTTCTGTGAAATTTCTCTACACTAGATGGCTCTGCCTTACCTTATTTTTACTAGTACAATGAATATCGACGGTTATTTTTATTATAAACATTATAATTACTATAATTTTAGTAACAGCAAAATAAGATAATGTATAATATTTTCGTAAATTAAAGAAAAGGGTAAACAGGCGAGACAGGCAGTACAAGTACAAGTGCAGCCATCTGTGTGTAAAAACAATTAAACAAGTAAACTCACAGTGGGCCCGTCACATGTACGTGACACCCGGCGTGAATGGGTTAAAGAAAGGGAAGGACTACGCTCAAAAACATGAAATATTATGTGCTAGGAAAAGGCTGTGCTCTTTCTTTCTTTCTTTCTTTCTTTCTTTCTTTCTTTCTTTCTTTCTTTCTTTTTTTTTTTTTTTTTTTTTTGTGTGTGTGTGTGTGTGTGTGTGTGTGTGTGTGTGTGTGTGTGTGTGTGTGTGAAATGTCTCTGCATATAGATGGCTCTCCTAGTATCAATTAGTACACCTTGTGACCTTACCTGATTTCACTTTTCCTTGAATTGGTGGGAAAAATATATTTTTTACTAATGCTATGAATATCGATGGTGTTATTTTTATTATAGACATTATAATTACTATAATGTTATAAAAAATAGTAACAGCAAAATAAGTTAACGTAAGATATTTTCATAAATCAAGGAAGAGGGTAAACAGGCAAGACAGGCAGTACTCGTAATTGCTTCATTAGTGACTTAGTACAAGTGTAGCCATCTGTGTGAAAAAACAATTAATAAAGTAAATTCACAGTGGGCATGGCATGTACGTACACGTGTCGGCATAGGGTTAAGAGGCAGCACCACATCAGTGACTGCAGTCAGGACAATTGAACAGCTGTTTAGCAGACAGTGCATGGTACTCATACTTGCCATTTGGCATCATGGTGACACTGATGCCAAATGGGATCATTTTTTTGTGATCCTCTTATAAGCCCCTCCTCTGACAACACTCTCCTCTTCCAGCAATGTCTTCAGAAACAAGTAGGCAAAGTTTCCTTCTGCAGCCATCCTGATCATTCCCACCTTGTCACAGTTACATCCAAAACCCAAGGTAAAGTACTATCAACTGTGACAGACTTCATTGTCAAGCCCATTCTTCCCTAACCTCATCCCTCCCTCAATACTTGTACCAGAACTGTCAACATCTCCCCAACAAACTGCCCTGTCTATGACAAAGGTCGGTCAGGTCAGGTTGTAGAGAAAACTTAGTCGCCTGCCTCATGAACTATGATGCAGTATCAGTACAATACTATGCCATTCCACTTGAGGCCATTGTAAAGGGCCCCACACATGATCAATTTTTTCGTCAATTAATTGATATCAATTTATTGACGTCAATGAATTGATGGAAATCACTGTGCCCACACACGGTTAATGATTTTACTTCAATTTTCAGTTTGGTTCATAATTTCGAGATGAAAGCATCTGTGGCTCTAGGAATAGTGCTTGCTCTGGACACTCCAAAGCGAAAGAAGAGGAGTAAGTGGGCGAAGAAATGGTATCTCTGTCGAAGGGATTAGACTTGAGTTAAGACTGATTTAGTTAAGAAAAGGAAAAGACTTAAAGTCTTAACTAAAGTTATTAAATAATATTTAATGATGAAAACTCTTATTAAAGTTTTTTGATTTATTAATTTTAATGATATTTTTAATAATTTAATGATGAAAACTCTTATTAAAGTTATTATTATTAAACTTAAAGTCTTAACTAAAACTTAAGAAAACTCCATCATCATTTTACATCCAGTCTAAAACTCCATCATCATTTTACGCTCACTTTCTTTCTTCTTCTCTTCCATGATTACGGTGACGACTCTTTCACTGCTGCAAGGGAAAACACTAAATTATTGATCAATATATTGACGCCCACACACGCTCAATTTTATTGAAGACCCATCAATAAATATCAAAGGAGTTTTGATCTCTCAATGAATTAATTCAATGAAATTGTTTCAGTTGAATTGATATCAATGTCCCCCACACACGGTCAATTTTTCCATCAATTCATTGACGTCAATAAATTGATATCAATTAATTGACGAAAAAATTGATCGTGTGCGGGGCCTTTAAGACTCCCACCAATATTGCCAATATTACTTTCCAGAGGCATGACCTCCCCTTTAATTTTTACCTTGGCAGAGAATCCCTCCTCCAACCATATTAACCCCCCTCTCCCCTCCCCTCCCATGTCAGAATTGTTGGCATCTTGGCCACCCTGCCAAACATTGCCACTCAAACTGTTTGCACAGTCATGCATACCCATATGCCAATTGTAGTGGCTCCCCTAATGTATTTTATAGGAGCTGTCCTACCCACAAGTTTGAATTTTTGGCATCACTCTATGTGAGGCCAAACAGGAAGCATATCAAGGTTTTTTCTTACTCTAGTAATGTCCGCTCTGCCCCTCCCCCTTCCTCCCAAGATGTTTCTACATCCCCCAAGTACCTACTCCTCCATCTTAGATTCCCACTTCTAACCCATACCTCTCCCAGTCAAATTCTTTTGCCATTCTAAATCCAGACACTCCACTGCCCTGACACCCAACCCTCTCCCTCCTTGCTCTACCCATAACAGACAGTCTAAATGTTCCACCCTTTTCCTACCACGCCCTCACCTCCACCTGCCTCTTCCTCAACTCCTCAGACACTAGTCTCCTCTTCAATCTTCATTTCTCAAAACTCCCCAACCAACTGCATTGCAGAAACTCTTGAAGATATTCAAAACTTTCAGCTTATGTCCCAAATCAATATTGAAACCCCTCCAATTTCCTTACTCCCACTCCCTCAATATTCAAAGTGACTGCTGATATCCATCCTCCTCCTACTCATGTTCCCCATACACCCCTTCTTCATACTCCCTCCCAACACACCCCGTCCCCCATAGTTCCATCTCCATCACATAATCCCTTGTGTCACAATAATGCCCTTCAACTGAATAGGAGCATCTGCCTGTCTTTGTTGCACAGTCAGGAATAGCAAAACAAAATTTATGTTTCCTTGATTATTTCTACATATATTTCAGCTTTCTGGCTTACCTCCATTTGGCCCCCAACCTCCGTATACAAGATACTCTCATCTCTGATCCTCTTCAAATCACTAATTAACTGGGTGACTATTTCAGCCATGTCAGTACTGACTCGCACCTTTCTCCACACGTCTCTTCCATGAAGGCCACTAGAGAATGCACCCCCAACACATTCTCCCTGTCCTCATAAATTCCATAAAGCTCCTTTTTCTTCCTCTGAACTTCATGTTGTCTTACAGTTGGGCCACACACCCATAAAGCCCTTAACGGCATTCATCATTACCATATGTCTAGACACCTTTCATCTTCCTCTCTATCCTTGCTGTTAATTATTTACAACCATATTTAGATGACAGGACATTTTCTTCCACACTGGTGTGAAGCTCTTAACCTCCCCTTCTTGAAACCCTGTAAATCAAGTACCCCCCCCCCCTCCTCAAGATTATTGCTTGTACAAACTACTAGAACAGATGGTTAAATTCTGCTTAATGTGATATCTTGAATTTCTCAATCTTTTTTCTCCTCCCCAGTTTGGATTCTGCCATGCCAAAAGTACAGCTGACTCGCTCATTTGGAGACATAGATTTCATTTACATTAGCATACTATGACTCTATATTAGCCATATTCTTTGACCTAGAAAAAGCATATAGTACCACATTCTCCAATAATTGTCCTCTTTAACCCCTTGCCGCCGGGTGACGAGTATACGCGTACCCCGTGCGGACCCGTCCTGCCGGGTACGTGTGTATACGTGCTCGATTTCTTACTCGTCCCGCCGGGGACGGGAAGAGGCGTGGTATCTGTATGACTGTATGAATTACTGTTTTTGAGCTAGTTTATATGTATACAAGTCTTCATATTGATAATTATGTTTGTGCAAGTATATGTGTACATATATGAATGTGTATATCTGTTCTTTGACGTGTTTGTGCTTGTCGGTTTGTGTTTTTGTGCGTATCTGTGGAAATATGGGCGCGCAACTTTCTTTCTCTGTGCGTGAGTGCGTAAGTCCGTAATTTTACGTGTGAAAGTGCGTGTGTGAATTGTATAAATGTTTACGCATGTTTTTCATTGCATAATTGTTTCGTCTGCTGTACTTGTGTGTTTCTCGGTCGTTTGTGTTGTGAAATCTGTGCGTGCATCTTTGCGTGTGTGCGTGTGATGTAGTTAGGTGTACAAATGTGCGTGCGTGTGTGTGTGTGATGTAAAATTGTGTGTACAAGTGTGCGTGTGAATGTATATGAATTGTATAAAAGTTTACGCATGCTTTTCATTGCATATTTGCTTTGTATGCTGTGTGTGTGTGTGTGTGTTTCTCGGTCGTTTGTGTTGTGAAACCTGTGCGTGCATCTATAGTGTGTATGTGTAATGTTGAGTAAAGTAATTGTGTGTGAAAGTGTGTATGTGAACTGTATAAATGTTTCCGCGTGTCTGTCGTTGTCTGATAGACGGACGTGAGTGTTGGGAAGTTTGTGGGCGTGTATGTGTGTAAAAGGTTGTAAAATTGTGTGTGCAAGTCTGTGTGGACTCGGACGGTGACGGGGAAGGCTGTCACCGACGAATCCTCCAGTTTTTTTTACCTTTTCTCTAAATTTTCTTTTTTTTTTTTTTGGCTCAAGGATGATTGCACTTTTCGAGTTTTGGCTGATGACGTCAGGTCATGTGACCTGACGTCATCAGCCAAAAAAAAAAGTTTGAAAGAGAGAGCGCCATGACACTTGTTCCCACTGTGCATGTGTGTGTGCGCGGGCGTGGGCAGGCGGGCATGCGTGCGCGCGTGTATGTGTGTGTGTGTGTGTGTGTGTGTGTGTGTATGTATGTGTGTGTGTGAGTGTGTGTGAGAGAGAGAGAGAGAGAGAGAGAGAGAGAGAGAGAGAGAGAGAGAAGGAACCTTCTGGAACCTTCCGGAGAAAAATTACCCGTTTCCCGCGCATACCTCACGTGACCTATCACGTGACTTTCTGGACCCCTCGGGCGCACAAGGAATGGCAATAGAGTAGTTTGGCGATAGTTTACATGTACCTCGCGTGACAAATCACGTGACTCACGTGACCTGAAATCGATGATCTGATTGGCCTAAGTCCTCTGGAAAATCATATAAAAACCCATGCAGAGGGCAAGGTAATCACTCGCCTGCTAGAATCTTGTGAAAGATGTCTCGCATGCTGTCTACTCGCCGCTGCCGCAAGCCGAAGAACTCCCCTGGAGTCCGTGCCTTGTCTTTTGACGAGGAGACAGTGGACGACCCCCAACCGTCCACTTCCAGGGGATATTCTCGCTTGCGGAATGCCCCAGACCCGCTCCTCTATCTGTTCTCATCCGCCGACGAAGTCGATGATGATGTATCAGATGAGGACTATACACCTCCTCTGAAGCTCCCCAGGACTAGTGATCTGTCTGGTAAGTTTTCTATCTTCTTTTTGACTTTTAAAATACCTGGATCTTTGGACATGTACTTTGTTTCTGCATAGCATAACTTTTTTTACAGAGAACTCATGTTTTCTTTCGTATTTTACAGAAGTTGAAATCTCCGCCCAGTTCAACGGTGACGACTCGGATTGGGAGGAATCCGAGTCCGACTCCGAAGAATCGGCCGGAGAGGCAAACTCAGACATCGATTATGATTATGTCCCGCTGATGGATACTTCTCTGGACTCGGACGAGCCCCTCGGAGAGTACGTACGACGCCGGTGGGAGCGCAACGCTCCCGGGTCTCCTCGTTTTGTTTGGTCAAGAGAGGAGAACTTCGTCCGGCGTCAGGGCTTCGAGGGGACACCGGGTGTGCACGAACACCTTGACGCATCGTCCAGTCCCTTGGAGATATTCCTCAGCTTGTTCCCAGAGGAGTTGTTCCAAACTATTGTGGATGAAACGAATCGGTAAGCAACTTACAAATTACCCTACTGTTTTTTGTGCTCTGCCTTGAACATTTCTACATGTCCTTTTTGAAACACCTGTTTTACAATGTCTTTTTTCTTCCAATTACAGGTACGCTCGACAGAACCCGCGCACCCCTTCATCCCACATGAAGGGGTGGGAGGACACAACGGTGCAGGAGCTCCGCTCATATATCGGCCTGAGATTCCTTTCGGGACTTCAGGGGAAGAGGTCCCTAAGGGATCTTTGGTCGACGGACCCGTTGCTGTGCTCGTCGGTGTTCCCCAAGACCATGTCCAGGGACCGCTTTGACATCCTGACCTCCGCGCTCCACTTCGCTGACAACGAAGGGGAGCACCCCCCGGAGGACAGGTTGTGGAAGCTGGGCCCTGTGATTTCCGTCTTGGATTCGACGTACCGTTCCGTTCTCATCCCCAACAAGAACGTGACCATGGACGAGAGCTTATGGGCCTTCAAGGGCAGGCATCAGGCCCTTCAGTATAACCCTAGCAAGAGGGCACGGAGGGGCCTGAAGGTCTACAAGCTCTGCTCGTCCGACGGTCCAGAGGCAGGGTATACGGCGGCCTTCAATGTTTACATGGGGCAAGATCGCGGCGAGTTCCCGGCGAGTATGAAGGCCGTCGACGACCTGATGACGAAGGCAAAGCTGTACGACAAGGGGTATCAGTTGTACACAGACAACTGGTATTCCTCCCCGACTCTCTTTCACTACCTGCAGTCCCGAAAAACCAGCGCCATTGGTACAGTTCGTACCAACAGGCACGGTATGCCCTCGGACTTGCAGGCGAGTCGGGGACAAATCGACTTCCGGAGCAGCAACACCGGAATGCTTTGCCTGCAGTGGATTGACAAGCGTCCTGTGACAATGCTTTCCACTGCCCACACATCCAAGGTCATTACCCTGCCTCCCAACCGCCGAGGGGTGGAGAGGTCGAAGCCCGAAGTTGTTGCCTGTTACAACAACGGGATGAAGGGCGTCGATCTCTCGGATCAGCTGGCGCAGTCATATCCAGCAACCAAGAAGACCATCAAGTGGTACAAGAAGGTCTTCTACATGCTGGATATGAAGACCGTCAACGCGCTGGCTGTCCACCGGGCCCTCGGCGGAAGGTTTTCGCAATATAAGTTCCGTACGGAACTTGTCCGGGAATTGCTGCAGCATGGTAAGCATCAGACTTTTTGTTTCTTGTATTCTGATTTGAAATTTTATAGTGATTTTCATTCTACATGTCCATTTTTGAGTATGTAATTTACAATGTCCTTTTTTCTTGCATTTACAGGTGGCCGGCCTGGCTCCTTCCGCCGGAACCCTCCTCAGAACCAACCTGAGGAGGATCCCCAGCAGGCGCACATGCCAGTCGACACCCCCTTCCGGAGGTGGCGGAGATGTGCGTTCTGCTGGAGGAAGAATCGGCGCAGGAAGGAGACCAGGGTCATGTGCTCCAGCTGCGGCATTTCCCTATGTGCCACACCCTGCTTTCAGGCACACCATGCCTGAAGCAATGTACACTGTGTGTACATAGTGTACATACTATGTATGTACTTGCCTTTTTTACATACTATGTATGTACTTGCCTTTTTTACATACTATGTATGTACTTGCCTTTTTTACATACTATGTATGTACTTGCCTTTTTTACATACTATGTATGTAAAGTATAACTTCATTTTGAAATATGTAGGCATATTCCATGCCTATATATGTTACTGAACCCTTTTTACATATGTAAATATGTATATATGCAATTTTGAAGAAAAATAAAAAATTCGACTTTATACCGCTTTTCTGTGCTCTCGCCCAAACCAACTCTTGACTTTACACACTCATATTGGTGAAACACTCCTAAAATGAAGTGTATACTACAGTATGAAACAATAAAATCCTTCATATGGCATATTATATGGCTACAGTAAGTCACCAAACTTTCACAGGTTTCTAGAGTGAAGAAAACGGAGGTTGCGGTTATACGCAAACCAGCCCCCCGAGAGCGCTGAAACTTGGGTGGGGTGGTGAGAGGGTCAGCACGAGTTGAGCGCACGTCCCGGCGGGAGCGTGCTAGGCTTATTTTTGTTCCCCGGAATGACGGGTTTAGAGCTGTTTTCCGACCCGGCGTCATTGGGTTAAGCATGCATTGAAACATGGATGTCTTTATGAACTCCTTCCTCTCATAACACACTATCCAAGTCAAAATTGCCTCTTGTGTATCATCTTTTCTAGTTTTGAAGGCATCCTGCACCACCTTATTCTTTATTGCTGTTATTGACATTATTTCAGTTCTTCCACCAGGGACCCAGTCATCACTATGTGTTGATAATTTAACCATCATTGGCTCTGGCCCATCCATACCTACTCACCACCAACTCCTTCAGTTTCCTGGCTTTCACTTTTCTACCTCCAAATCCTTCTCCCTCCTTGTCTCTCATGCACATGTAGGTCCCCAACTTCCACTCTATTTATATGATGCTCCACTCCAATACTGTTCTTTTGGCAAATTCCATGACATCATTTTTTACTCCAAGCTGTCATAGCAAAACCATATCTTTTCCATAAAACAAAGAGCTCACCACCACCTCCGAATCTTACAGACTCTCTCCCATATATCCTGGGGTTCAGATTACAAAACTCTCCTCCATCTTCATGTTACCTTGACGATGGATGCCACATCTGCTCTTCTGCCTCTACCTCCCTTCTGGCTCCTCTTGGTCTTCACTTCACTGCTCCTCTCCAGTTGAGAGTGTGTATGCTGAGTCAGGCATGCCACTTCTCTCTCGATGCCATGCCCTTCTCTCTTTCTGATGCTTTTCCACCAATTTTCCCTTACCAACCTAACTATCCCTTGATATCTGCTCCATACATTTGCTTTTTTCTCCACACTTACCTACTCCTTTCTCCATTCACATGGATACTCTTCTCTCCCCTCTCTACCATCTCTAATCTCTTCCCTTTTCATTCTGTTCCTCCATGGCTTATACCTTACCCCTGTATTTGCTCCTCTGTTTTCCCTTACCCACCAAAAATCAGATATCCCCTCTTATTTCCTTCTTACCTATTTCCTTGACCATCCCTTCATTCTCCACTCATTCCTCCAGTATCTATGTTTACATGTATACTTTTGGTGCTGGTTTTACAGTAGTCATCCCAACTCATGCATGAAATACCCCTTCCCTGCTAAGTCCAGTGTCCTTACTACAGAACTGTATGCATTCCTTTTCACCTTAAAATACATATACTCTTTCCCTTCCTCCTCTTCCACTATTTTTATGGATTTGTGACAATGCTGCACATCCTTTATCATCTATACTTGTTTTGTATGCTGTA